GTTCAGTTAAAATGACTAATATGCATTCATACATGGTTATCAAGTTTTAATTCTAATTACAAAAGTTCTATCATTAAATAACATTGATTATCATATTATAATGCTTGACTGACTTGATGTTAAGAGTGTATTTTCAGATATTTATAAAACTGTGCCATTTCACAAACATATATATATATATATATGTATATATACTGCATGTGTATATATGTGTGTATGTATATGTATGTGTATGTGTATATGTGTATGTATATGTATGTGTATGTGTATATGTGTATATGTGTGTGTGTGTATGTGTGTATGTGTGTGTGTGTGTGTATATGTGTGTGTGTGTATATGTTTATGTGTATGTGTATGTGTGTATGTATATGTATGTGTATATGTATGTGTGTGTGTGTGTATGTGTGTGTGTGTGTGTGTGTGTGTGTGTGTGTGGCTATGTAAAATTAATGTAAGTTAAACTTTTAAAAAACATGTCTCAAGACTTTATGGCGGTTTTCCCCATTCCACTGCATCTCAAGTTTTTAAATGAAGAAAGTACTCTTTGTGATTGGTTTTCGGTCCTTTATATTAAACTATACATACATGCATGATGCTGTTTCGTTTCTAATTGTTTAAGCAACTTTATTAATTATATACAGTTTATAAACATTATTTTAAACATTATGCAGTTTTTTCAAAAATAGTCGTGCTATTTTATTATGCTTTGAAGAAACGTGCATAATATTTTGCTCGATGCGCCCTCTTGTGGCCTTGGGAGAGAAGCCAAAAGCTTTTTTCCCCCTAACTGAAATTATGCTTTTTAAATTCGAATATAATTCGAATATTGATAATATTCAAGTAAAAAATTAGAATTTAGTTTTTCAGCCATTTTGACAGCCCTAGTGTTCACACACTGCTAAGACACATTTATATGCAGACACCATGTAAAAGTGAATTTTGCATCCAATGTCCCCTTTAAATTTAAAAGATTTGTTGTAGAGTGAGGGGCACTAAAAACTTTAATTTTTTGATGTTAACATTTTTTATTTAAAGGTATTTTACATTATTTCTGAATGTAATAATAAAATGTCACTTATACATGGTGCATTTTGTGTGTGTGTTTTCTCTCTCTGACCTACCTGCCTGTGAACGCATGTATTTGCATACCTCCGCACACTCGATACGTCATCAGCACCTTCCATTACGCTATTGCAAACAGAGTGAGAATGGAAGACGTTATTATTGTAATATTATGCGCTTTGTACTGTAATGTTTTCTCACCGGTGAATGAGACATAAGGTAATCTGACAGCGCTGCATTCAACCCTCCACCATTGCCATCTCTCATCGTGTCGCTGGTTAGCCTCTGGTCTGCCTGTGTGTGTTCATGTGTTTTGGAGGAGGCGTGGCTTTGGAGAGTGATTTGCAGGGAGAGTGGGATCTTATGCTTTCAAACTACATACTATTGCTAGCCTCTCCGAAATCACCTACCCTACCTTTAAGTGCAATAAGACACGAAAGAAATCTGAACTGGTGATCACATGCTGACTGAGAGAGCCGCTAACTGTTCACAGCTTCATATGGCTGTCAGTCAGCATGAGAGCCGCAAGTTCATTTTCGTGCCTGTTGTACTTAACTCTTTTTTCCATCATGCACCTCCTGTGCTTTATTTTCTCATTAATGTATTATTTTCTCATTCATGCGTACCTCTGTAACGTGTCAGTATCTTCAAGCAGTCCTGTGCTCCACAGATATATGCGCTCACAACTCTTATTAAAATGTTGTCATTTTTAAAGGGGTCATATGATGCTTTTTTAAAGATCATTATTTTGTGTATTTGGTGTAACAGAATATGCGCTCTCTCGCTCGTGCACACACACGATGCGCAAAACTCTGCATTTCAACAGTCAATAGCAAATACTTAAACTAATAACAAAACAGTAGCTGATTCAGAAGCGCCAGATTGTCATAGCAAAGTCAAAATTACCTCCTCTCCTAGGTTCACGAAACGGTCGTCCATAAAATGCATTGCTGTTCTGTTGTAAGTAATCTTAAAGATTCCTAAATGCGTCTACTTTCGGAAGGCCAAATAAAGTGCTTTTGCTTTTGCCTAGAAACACACAGCGTCTCCCTGACATGGCTGCTTCAACACTAACTGCGGTTACTGAAACCACGCCTTCTTTCTTTGTGTG